TTTTTTTTTTTTTTTTTTTTTTTTTTTTTTTTTTTTTTTTTTTTTTTTTTATGATGGATGGGACCTTTGACTACTTATAATATATCCATTGACATTGATTCTTTTCACTCACATTGTTTAGGTAATTATTGGTCCCCTCCTTTCACCTCATTGCCTAACTCTCCCCCTAAAAGTACTTATTTTTTTCTTTTAAAAGGCATGGAGTAAGAGGACTCCATCCTGAAATAGAACTCTCTAAATTAAAATATTTTAAGCTTAAAATCTATTTAAGTCTATATGTTGAGGGAAAGTTAAGTAAATATTTTCATTCAAAAAGTCATTAATAAGGATAACACTACAGGAAAACCCGCTATTACCGGCAAATTATATCCGCCGGTAACACATAAAATCCGCCAGTAGTCCCGGGTTTCCGGGGCATTTAGGGGGATTTTCGTGCACCGGTTTGGTTCGCGTCGGAAAAAACTTTCCGACGTTTATGAGACGCCGAAAAATTTTCCGGCGCAAAAAATGCTGGCCAAGCCGGCGATTTTCAATCGGACATTCCGGCGATAACTGCGCCGGAAGTTTACGTCGTATTGATCCGCAGGACATTACCGGCGGAGAAAACGCCGTAGATGCTTCGTAAATAAGCTACGGCTAGTTTACGGCGCATATTGGACGCCGGTTTCTTAAAGTTGATTGAAGGTGAACAACTTCAAGATGGTTTGAGCGTCTTAACTAAGGCTTCATTTGGGACGGCTTCTTTACTTTTTTTTAAAGTAGATTTTCTAATTTTTGTACTAGAAAGCTGCTTTAAGAAGTAGAAAGAAAGCTGTCCCAAACAAAGCCTAATTTTAAAGAAGAATAGAGGTAGTAGTAGAAATAATGGTGATACTTATACATAAATTGATGTGTTATAGGCTTGTAACCATGAAACACTTCTTCCTAACGAGCAATAATTCTAAACCCCACCCCACCTTTCTTTCATCCAACAATCCCAACTTTATACAATACTATTTCATTTCTATGATGTAACATAGCATAACAAACAAAAATATTATAAATTAAATGCATAAAATTGTCATTAGGTGGTGGGCATTAATTGAATTGAAATTAACATATTCGATTCTTTAGCTTATTAAGAAATTCTATCAAGTTTGGATTCTTCGACGCAAGATAAATATTTTCTTTTGAGCTGGACAATCTTCATTTCAACCTATGATAATGAAAGGATGATTATATCTCAATGTTTACTTTTCTCCATCCCAATATGATTCTTTGTTGCCCAATTCAAATGCTGATTCATCTTCTTAAAATCACATTTGCAGAGGCTCCTTAGTGCAAGAGAGGATAGAAAAAATAGGAAAAAAAATGATATTTCTCAATTAAAGTTATCATTAGTGACATAAGAGCTTGAGAAAGTGGTTGAATAATTAATTGTGCTTACTGATGAATCAAGGATTGTGATGTGGTTCTTCCTTCATCTTCAAGCTTTTAAAGGGAAGTGACTTGTCTGCTAGAGTTGTCAGAATGTCCTCCATTGCCTTTACACGATAGTGTAAACTTTTCAATGGGAGTTTCAGAGATTTACCATCCAATTCTTGATAAACTCATTGTTGAGAAAGAACAAATATTTCAAACTCTTCGTTGATGTCTAACAAATCATCTTCATACACATAACATTGAGATAGAACCCAAATTATGAGTTATGGAATAATGTATTTATTAATGTTCTTCGTTCTTATCGCCATCTTTATGCTGTCAAAATATTGATTGCTGTAAAAGAAATGCAGGAAGACTACTTCTTGTATTTGGTTGTAAGTGAACTGTAAAACCGAATGATAAGATTCTCTTAAATACAATGGCAATAATTTAAAACCTTTAATGTTGCAAGTGTTTGAACAAATGCAGTGCAATTGAGGGATTAAAAACCTGACATCAATATAAAACATATGATATTCACAAAATTTTTGCCAAAAAGGTCAAAATTAATGTGTTGGGTTCAAATTTGTCTGTCGATGATGCACGATCTTATCAGCAGATAAACTCTATGAGTGGTGACTTTGAACCTGAATGAGAATATAGAGAAAGTGGTTTACTAGAGAAAATATGTGGGGAAATACTCAAAGGTTCAGAATCTCGCTCAATCTAAAAGATATAGAGGATGTTCAAAAAGATGTAAAAAAATATCCAAAATGCTCATTTCACCCATTTTTTATAGGGATTCAAGGGTTATAGGAAATTTTACATACAAAAAATGTAAAAAATATAGCGACTTAAAATAACTCTCACTACAGATAGCTTCGACATGTGTCTCATAATAAATTGTTGGAGGGGGTGGCAGTAAGCAGCCTTTGATAGTTCATTTTTGGGGCAAGTTCAATAATGCCAAGTAGGTTTAGGTAAGTACCCTTGGGCAGGTTAATCGACAAATGTTAAGATGAGGAAACCTATGACTTGTGGCTGATTGAGGTTGTCAATGACTTGTATTTAAGGCCTCAAATCACCTTTGAAGAGAAAAGCGAGTGAGATGTCCCTAGCAAAAAAGGATAGGTCAAGATCGAATCTGGGCGGTACGATGTTTTAAGGGGCCGATGAATAGGCTTTTTTTTGTAGTTCTAAATGAATGAGTGGGGATGCTTGCCCTGAGAGTAAGTGAATGATCGCGACAACTATCTTTTCATGCAACAGGCTACAAGTTGCTTGTTAGAAGAAGATATAGAATTGCTTCCCCATGCAGGACGATTCCCCTTGGTAGTCCAAGGTGAGTTTTCATATGGGTTCTATTGAATATGAGTTCCTTCATCGCAACCCGTCGACTATCTATTACGCACCTGTGAACACATATGCAAATATATAATATGCATTAAAATTATGTATTTATCATGTTATTTAACATTTTATTTGACCATAATTTATACTATATAAAATAATCATCACTTAAACCCAAATAAATACTCCTAAAAGACCATAATAAGCTACTCATAATAATCATACTTCAAACAAGGAAGGTTTTCAAGAGAAATCCTGCTAAAGTTCATAATATCAGTTTCTAGAATAAAAAATTATTAGAGTTTTTTTTTTTATTGCAAGTGTTTATGATACATATGTACTTTTAGATGCACTATAAATGAAATATATTTGAAAATTTTAATGTCTTAAGATTGTTTAATTGACTAGAAAATAAATTCACATAATTATTTTTTATGTTTTTGTTTCTAATAACTTAGATTAATTCTGGGGTAGTTGTTGCTGGGTTATCATACGTGTGAAGACAATTACATAGGGTCATTTGTACCGATTAGAGTGTAATGCATTTGTTTGTTGTATACATCATGAATGAAGGTAAAAAAAAAAAGTTCAATTTAGAGATATTTATTTTTTATTATAATAATTTTTGAAATGATGATCTTTAAAATATAAAATGTGATTCGAATTTATGTTCTTTAATAAACTATGTTATCAAATAAGCCTTATTTAATAAGCGTGCCACATATCTTTTCATCTTAAATAAAATCGTAAATTTAAAAGTATTTAAAATACATACAATTTTTAGTTTTAACCTTTAAATTGGCTTCCACTATGAGTGTTAAATTGGGTTGACTGATCAGGTTCATGTTCGATTTGAAATTGATCCGACCCGAATGTAATCAACTTGAGCATGACCCGTTTAATAAACTGGTCAAAAACACCAACCTGCATAAATTCTCTAGTAATCCGAATGACTTGAGACCGACCCGTTAACTTATTTTGGTTAAATTTTTTTTATCACTTATTACCTATAAAATTTAGTATATTTGATAAAAAAAATAAAAATATTATATATACCCAAAAATAAAAAAAAAATAGGAAAAATTATATTAAATATGTCATATTTGAGTTAAAAATGAGTTCGTTAGTTAACATGAATCTAACCTGTTTAATAAATTGGTCAGAAAACTTAACTTGAATGTGATCTGTTTATTAAACGGGTCGACCTAAACTCAAAATTTCGGAATTGAATTTGAAGTTAGTTGGAGGGTCTGATAATTTATTGACACTAAACACCAATTGAATACTTGCAAATCTCTTGTGTTACACCAAATCACTTCATATAAAAATAGCCTATAAAAGAAAGAGTAAAAACATCACTATAAAAAATTCCCTTAAAAAAGATCAGGTGTATTAGGTGACTCAATCACATATTTTAAGCAAAAATTGTTTTTGGCTACCTAATAAAACGAAATTAATTTAATTTTGTATGTAATTTTTTTAGTAGCGCATTGCTTTTAAAAGAAAATGAACTTTACTTTAAATTTTTATTTTAAAAATGATGAAAAATAAATTATAAAACATGTTACTCACATAAGAAAAAAAAAATTAAGAGGCCAAATGCACGGATCCATTTTCAATGTATCCCTTTTCGAACCTCCGAATCACCACGAACTTTTATTTGGTCCGGTGAACGTACGTAGAGCTACGTTCGGCCGGCATTAAGATCGCAGGCACAAAATGAGAAATACCGAGCAATACCAACAATAACCAAAAATAACATTATGTGAAGATAAAATACCGAGTTATACTGAGCAATACCGACTAATCCCAAAAAATACCGAGTTTTTTCTAGAAAAATCGATATTTTTTGGAATTAGCAGTATTGCTCGATATTGCTCGTTATAATACCAATACGGAGAAAAACCGAGTAACAATCCAGCTACGTCCGTCACAGGACATAATAAAAGTTCCCGAATCACGCTGCTCTCAGTAACCCTCGACCCTCGGGTGCGCACTGTTGGACGCTCGCTTGGGTTCCAGGGCTACAGCGGCGACCGAGCCCGAAAGTGTTTCTGATCTTGTTTTTCTTTTTTCCTTCCACCCAAGCAGAGCGGCGGCAAGGCGGCAAGGCATCAAGGCGGCCTGGGAATCTGAAATTAAGGGGTAAGGGAGAGTAGCGAGTGCTATGGGATTCATGTTCCGGGTCAGGTTATCGTCCTTCTTCGCTGGCGCCACCGCAGCATCGGTTGCTGGCTTCTATTTCCTCTATAAAGACTATATGTTCTCCCAGCAGGCCATCTTCCAAAAGGTTACCTTTTGTCATTCCCCCTTTTTTTTTCATTAACCCTAGAAGGACTACTCTTCCTTTTCTTCCTTTTTTGTAGGATCATCTCATTTTCTTGTTTCGTTGTATTGTGTTCTCTTGTTGCGATTAGTGGCTATAATATGCTCTAGTTTCGAACTATTTACGAAGGATACTTAGCCGTTTTGTCCTAGTCCTTGTACTTGAAAATAAAAAATGATGCGGATCTTTATGTTAGTTTGTTGTTTCTTTTAGAGGGGAATGGTCTGATCAAGGCGATATTTTTGTTTGAGACAATGCCTTCATCCTATGTGTAATTAAGTCATCAAAAAGTATCACATAGACTTCTCTTTGCATTGATTTTTTTTCTAGTTAAAATTTACATGAACAAGCCTTTACAAACCGGTTACCAGATGTTGAGCATTAAATGATTTTTTACCAACATTTATACATTTATAAAAACAAAGTAGAAATTTGTTCATAGATTAACTTTTTTGTTGAGTGATACTAATGTTTTTTAAAATTAGTTTGACTTCATGTTGTGTAGGTCTACTATGGAAGCTATACATTTGTTGAAAGGTTTGATGGAGAAATATAGAGAGAGTAAGAAGGATCTACATATGATATGATAAGTGCTCTGGAGAGTTTTAGAATAGAAAGAGTTAATAATGCTTATTTTCAAGTCATTAAGGATATGTATACTGAAGTTGTTACTTATGTTCGAACACAAGGTGCTTTGACCTATTATTTTCCTATTTTAGTTGGATTACATCAAAGATCAGCCGATCAGCTTTAAGCTCATATCTTTTGCTTTAGTCATGGATGTTCTTAATAGATATTTGCAAGAGGATGTACCTTAGTGCATGTTTTTTTCCTGATGATATTCTTGTTGTTGTTAAGATTAGAGAGGAAGTTGAAAAAAAAAACTTAAATTATGGAGGTCAATTGTAGAGTCTAAAAGTTTTCATTTGAGTAGATATAAAATTGAATACATAAGAGTTTAATTTTTGTAGTAATAGATCTAGTGGTGGAATTGTGACATTGGGTGATCAAGTTCATTAAAAAGAGTGCATATTTTGGATATTTCAGGTCTATTGTTCAAAACGATGGTGAAATAGATGGAGACATTATTTGTAGAATTCAAGTTGGATGGTTGAAGTGGAGGAATGCATCGGGCCTATTGTATGATAGAAAATTACCCCTCAAACTTAAGGGAAAATTTTATAAGATTTTTGTGAGACTTGCGGTGCTTTATGGCTTAGAATGTTGACCAATAAAAGATACGAATAAAATTAAGTTAAGTGTTGCAAAGATGAAAATGCTCAAGTGGATGAATGGTTTTAAACTTAGGGGCAATTTTGTTGGAGTTAAAGTGAGTGTAAAGTGAATGTAGGGGTTTTGAAAAGTTTGGGGTTTGGTTGGATGAAAAACAAATCTAATGTAAAGTAAAATAAATGCAGTGTATTCCATTCTAGTTCATTTTTGCGTAAACTGTTCTCGCCTAATTTTGAGTGAGAACCATTTACACCACTCCAAAGCTTGCTTCACCACCAGCGCCGCCACTATCTCCACCACCACTCGCCACTATCCTCTGTTGTCACCGCCGCCCGCCGTTGCCGCTACCCACAGCTGCTCGACACTGCTCACCACCAGTCGCCCACCGCCGCCACAACCTCCACCTCTCGCCATCCCATTGCCATCGATGGTCGTCACCGCCGGCCACTAATGTCGGTCACGGGCCGTTGCCAATTACCCCTTACACAACCTTTTTACACTTTATATTGCCTTCACTTTACTACAAAAAAAAGGTAAAGCCATGCATTCTTTTTATACTCATACAAACTACTCCAAAGTATTAATTTTACATCGCATTCCTTTAATATCGCATGCGTTTTAAACTGCATTCCTTTTTCAGGCAACCAAACAGCCCCTTAGAGATAAAATGCGAAACGAGTATATATGTGAAAGGTTGAAGTAGCTCCAGTGGTAGATAAGATTAGAGCAAGTCGCCTTAGATGGTTTGGTCACAAAAAAAGTCGTCCTTCCGATGACCCGGTTAGGAAAGTCGATGTTTTAGATCCGGCCTATATTAAGAAAAGATAGAGGTAGACCTAAAAAGACTTTGTAGAAAGTTTAAGAAATGACCTTTTTTATTTTATTTAAATGAGAATTTGATTTTTAATAGGACACAATGGAGAAAAAAGATTCATGTAGCTGACCCCATGTAGTGGGATAAAAGCTTGATGTTGTTGTTATATTTGACTTTTTGTGGAGGTTGAAACAAATCTCAATCTTTAAGAGGGACATTGCTAGAAGTACAAAAAATGGGTGTCAAAAGATGTTCACGTATCTCTTTTTGTAGAGATTTCCCATATAATTCCTATGAGGAATTTCACATGGGATTACTAGCATATTGGGCATGTTGGAGGGGCTTTGATGTAGGTTCCAGACCGTGTTGGTTGCAAGCCATTTTTGGATTTGTTTATAAACTTAGATGGGAGGCTTGCTGATCAACTATATTAGCTTCATTTTTAAGGTACCATTTGGCTAGCATTGCATGACATGTTAACACTTAACCCTGGTGAGATATGTCGTCGTAAGCTATCTTTATTTTTAATGCTGAATTATCCCTAGTGTTTTGATATCTGCTGGAGTTACCTCCCTGGATGAGGTATAGATATTTTCGTATAGGTGGTTGTTGGTGGGGTTTTTTTTGTTCCTTTTAGCCTTGGGATGTCAACTTTTTTGATCTTCTTTAACTTATGTCTTATTTTACCCTGCTTATTCTTTGGTTAAATGAGTTTTGTTTTAAATATTTATCCCTTATCTTGACTTGGAGGAAATCTTTGGGGGATGACCCTTATTTGATGGAGTTTCCTTTTCAGATTCATGCACTAGACTCAAACTCGGTTCTTCTCTTTCTAATGAAATATTTGTCATTGGGAAGAATTGGCGAAACCTAATAAACATGTATGACTAACCTTGGTTTTAGGGTAACTTGATATCGGGTCAAAAAGTTAGAGGCTTTGCGTTGCTTTTGGTATTATTTGAAAGCACTTTGGGATGATTGATGGCACAAATTTCTTGTTTGTTGTTATTGTTGATGATGATGAGTTGTATGAAAATCAACTTGGAAAAGTATCGGATGGGTTTTTGAAGTGTAGTTGGATGCTGGCTTCCTCTTTGTTGACTTATGAAGTTTGAAATTCAATGAGTTACATAGCTATCTGTTTAAGGAAAAAATTTGAGCTACGGTGGTTCAGATGAGAGCTTGGGAATTGGTGAATAATAATGGGTATAGTTAGGGAAGAAGAAGATCAGAATTATAATCTATAGTTTTAGAAGCCTTAGCATGTTCTTATTCGTTTTCTTATCTTAATTAAGAAAGGTTATAAAATGTTCACTCTTGGAAGGTATCATGCTCCCAATAGAGGCAAGGGGACAACTTGCTCTATAATGCTGAATTTGGTAATTGTGGGGAGTTTTGCTTTACACTAAGGGATGAGGCTCTTTGGCCACACAGGACTTTGGACGTTTCCTTATTAATAGCTCCTCTATCTCATTTGATGGCTCCAGATTAGCAGAAGACTAATATTCGTGCCTACTTATAGGATGTGTCAGATCCTTTAGGTAGAGTTGGTCACAACGCATGTGCGGGAGATTAGCTTGGGTAGAGGACTTGAAGCTGGTGCTTGTTGAAGGGTTGGATGAGCATTATCCATGCTTCTTACAACTATCTTTTGGATGGTTTGCTAATGTGTTGTCCACTGTGTAAGCCACTATTACATTTTAGGCCATGTTCCATGGGATCCATGAACAAATTTTTTATAACACTTGTTGCATGTCATAAGAATAACCAATGGCTGTATTTATGTCATTTTCTTGCTTTCCTCCTGATGATCTCCTAGGACTCAACTTGGCCTGTATGGCTTCATATCTAGATCTTAGTTTTCTGTGCCCCATACTTCTTGGGACTTAATGCTTAGGATATCTAACAATTCGATGCTAAATCCGCCGCTCATTTGCTAAAGAGTAGCTTGAAGCCATTTGATTTGATCTTGAGCGAAACAAGTCTTGTTACAGACTAGCCGACTTGAAATTGATTTGAGTTAGACAGGGCTCATTAGCTTCTATTCAAGCTAGATTTGAGCCAAAACTTGATATGGTCTTGATTGATTTTGGATCTCCTAGAACTAATTCTTAGTCCAACATACACAAGTATTCATGTAATATAAATGCATATAAACAGTAATTCAAAATTTCAAGTCTATTACTTAAGAAAATATGTGTGTATGCATTCATATTAGCAAATGTATTTATTTAGATTTGATTTCAAATTAGCTCCATCAGATTTATGCTTGACTTAATTCAACTTTGATTCTAATTGATCTTTGCTTGTTAGTTGGCTCATTAACTTTAATTATCTATCCAACTTTTTGGTGATGGTTGAATCAAACTCACAACTCTATTCACTCCTCCTATGGAATGAAGTTCATTGGATTGAGCATAGCCTCTAATCACAAGGTTGTATTAGCTTTTATGGCAAAGTTGTTGTTACATAGATATGGGGCGACATCTAGATGATGCTTTATGGATCAAAGAACTTGGGTTCCAATTTTCATCCCACGAACATTCTCTTATTAGTTTTCTGTTTGGCTTGTAATTTTTTTTAGTTGTAATGAGGATGACCTTCTTTAGTAATTTCTTTTTAAATATGTTTTAAGGAGTATTATTTTACAAATGTAAGATGGTTTGACCATGTATTTTCCTATTTTAGCTGCATTACATCAAGGATCAACTTTAAGCCAATATCTTTTTGCTTTAGTCATGGATGTTTTTACTATAAATTTGCAAGAGAATGTGCCATGGTGTATGTTTTTTGATGATGATATTCTTCTTGTTGATAAGACTAGAGATGTAGTTGAAGGTAAACTTGAATTATGGAGGTCAACTTTAGAGTCTTAAAGGTTTTCATTTGAGTAGATCTAAACCTGAATACATGGAGT